GTAACCATGCATTGATACTGTACAAGGCTAAAGGTATGTTTATTCAAAACGTACCAGTCACAGATGAAGGGGAACAGCTCGTACGTCTCGAACCTTGGACGCAATGATCCACTTGAAATAATTCAGCTCTCCCTGAAATGAGGTATACAATTCAAATTAGTTAAAGTGTCTTCAGATAATCAACAGAGATTGGCTGCCCGGCCTCCAAATTTATATACGCACTCGGCCATGGCCAGAATCTACATAGATGTGGTGGGAACGCCCCTTACTGGAAGGCGAAATGCGATGTTAATCAATCAAATAAATTTTTGTTTTTCAAAAACTTACCAATTCTTGATGAAAGGAGACCAAAGAAAACAGCAGTAAGGTCAGGAACCTTGCAATTGGATAAATGGTTGTACCGTTGATTGGAATATGTAATTTATCTCTTCCTGAAAGAGGGACAATTTTATGTATCAATAAAAAAAATGTTTTGAAGATATCCAATGAAATCATCACTTATAAACACAAAACATTAAAAACTCCAACACCTACAGTGTAAGAAGTAACAAGGAAAGATAATTTAAACAAACTTTAAAAGTTTAACTTGAAACGTCTGTCAGAGCTAAACGCCGAGTCCGGGACACCCTACAAATTATCGAACAAACATACTTAGTTTCGCTGTCGCAACCTAGGCTAAATTAAAAGTTATTTCTGGGGATAAAAAGCCGGAGAAGATAGGAAACTAAGGAAACTACGTACAGCGGAACGTGACCAAAAAAACTTTGTAAAAAAAATATCTTCTCAGGTTCGGAAAATTCAAATTAAACGAGCATCTTTCCTACCTGTTAAACGATTTCAGTAAAATCTCCTAGGGAAATTCTCTGTCTAGTAAAGTTGTCTTCAGTGGTTTGCAGTTTAGATGCCACTGAATAACGATTTAATTTATACTGTGGCCGATAGAAACAAAACAGAAAAACAGAAAGCCTCAAACCCAAAACCGAATCCAAAACCGAAACACACGAGCCAAAACGGTAATCTAATAGCGAAAACAAGACAAATCCACAACCAGAAAACAGGAACACAATTCCCGAAACGGAATTAATACATCACCCAAAAGGGAAAGACACAAAAAGCTCGACAATCCAAAACAGAAACAAACAAAAATTGTAAAACTGTAATTATAATTAGCCATAATGCATTTTCTTCTGCCTCCTCCACTGGCTTTCCCACAGGCTAAGTGGGGAGCACAGACTTACCAGTACTGGAGACGCGCGAGACGCGCGAGAAATGACGTAATTTAGACGTATACCTTAAAATGCGAAGCAGCGCCGAGATCCTTGTTCTTGACCCAACAAACACAACAAATTACTGCAAGTGCGTTTTGAATTTACTTTCATCCTGAGTAGAAAATCCACAATGGCTGTTTTTTAGGCTAATCATGGCCCGTACTCAAATCCTGATACACGCGCGCGACTTTGCATATCACACAACAGTAGGAATCTAACCAAAATCGCATATAGCAATGACCACAGGTACCTCGAGCTCACGAAAGAGAATCGTTGTTGCATAACAGAAATATTATGAGGGTTTGTACTGAGATTTAAGCGATCGTTATGAAGGGTCAAAAATAGTAATAAAAATACATCAGAATTCCTTACCTTGTCTCCTTGTCTAAAAATATTGTGTTTTCTTAGCATTTTTGGCCGTTTCAGGGTGATTCCAGCGAGTTTAAGTTCTGCGGTTGACGGCTTATAATATTTCTTTTATGAAACAAGGATTCTCACTCGTGTATACTGCGCACATATCACTAGAAGTGACTAACAGATAAGAACCGAAACAAGGGACGAAATAATTGTGAGCCATGTTTTATGTCACCAATAAATTGTCCGCGTTACCCCATTTTTCGTAAGAGATGGAACAACAATTTTTTTCACTTCCATCGAAAAATATAACAGTGAGCTGGGAGCTATTTTCCACTGCACAAGACTCCTGCTACCGTCAAATGCCCGCATGCTTGCGTAGTTACGGAATACGTCATGAACTTGCATATAGATAAAGTGTGAGGGCGGATCGTAGTGTAATGATAAAAACCTCTTTCTGAAGATCTCCAATCGGAGACAACGAGCGGGGCGCCCGGCACTTTTTTTCCCTTAAGTTTCTGTTTTCCTAAGATGTATTCGTTTATTTATTGTTTGTTCGAGGTGAAAGCTAGTCATATTTTGTGCACCAATCAAGACTAGACGCTCTATTCAGACAACAGCAGTTGCCTCGTCTCTGTACGTCGCTTTACCAGGCCTTCTCAGTGATGTATCGGAGTCGAAAAAACTCGCTCGTACCACGTAACCCTAAACACATAGGCCTTGTGGCCTAGGGAGTAGTATATCGGCTGCTGAAGAGATCTTTGTTTTTGAGCTTCAATATATGATTTATTATCCTGTGAAGTTTCTTGCAGTAATTAACGTTTTATGCTTGAACGGATCTAATATACCTTTCAACTCCTGAAATCACGGGTACGCCTTTCGGACGGAGCGCCTCCGTGTTATAGAGATTACTCCACGGGCATGAATTCGCATGGAAGGTTATAAACCCTTGTGTCTTTGCGTTCTGCAGCTGGACAACGACAGATGAGCATTCGCGCTTAGAAGTTTTGTTTTGAATGTCAGTCCATTTAACAAAATAAAACGACAATTTGTCCTTGTCTAGTTACTACTTAGACGACAAGTTCACATTTTCAATGAGTCAACAGACGTTCATGAGCTCTAGGCGCGTTGCGCTGAGTTGACTATTAATTTTGACTCTTTAGCTTAGAAACGAGAAGAAGTAGTCTAATGGAAAGTCTAATTGTAGTTTTAGTGGAAGACAGACGGTATGTACTTTCTTCGATCCCATATCAAGTTTTGATAAAGATTAAGGGATTTAGGGGTTGACCGAGAGGACAGCATGGCCACGTCTTTTTTTTCTGAAATTTCGTATCATTTTAAAAGAATTCTCAGTAAAATAAAGTTTATTTGATTTGGATCCAGGAAATTTTGGTTTTTCTTCTTGTTACTATTTAAAATAGTTATTCTGTATTTTTGGCAATTTTTAGCTTTTGGTTTCCAGGTGGGATGGCATCATTACTTCATTCACCTTCCTCTTGCTCAGAAACTTGGCATAGACAAATTTGTCAAAGAAGTTGCCATTACTTTGCTTTTCATCAAAACGGTGGCTTGGCTCAGCCCTAAACCCTTGGATGAAATATCCCAAGATTATAAACAGTGATTTTTTTCTGGCCTTTTCACCACTCCAAAACATCGTCATCATTATTTTGTGGCCTGTTTTGAGCAAAAACAAGAAAACGAAAAAAAAAAAAATAATAATAAAGGTTGTCAAGAAATCATAGGCTTAATCCTCTTTGGAAAAAATCCAAAGATAACCGCCACACATCGAAATGTTGTGGTGTTATGTCACCGCATCGAAAAAAAAAACAAACACATTTTCTTTTCATTTTAATTTCTTGCGTTACTGCGCGTAGAATGGCGCGCACCCTGGTACACTGTGTATGTGCGTGGATGGTCGCGTGGATGGTCATGCGCAATTATCAGGGTTTGGTAAGATCCAACGGCAACGATAACGTCGCTTAAAAAGTAAATTTGCTCTCTTTGAGTCCTTATCGCAATTATTCCTACCCATTTACTTTGTCAAATGTACAGTGTAGGCGAACCCTCCTGGAGCTGAATTCCTAGGGACCATATCCTAGCCTGCGAAAACAGCCTTCTCTCCCCGCTCTTCGCCGTTGGAGACGCTTTGCGCGGAGGTTATTCCTCGCGAAACGTCCTCAGTGGCGAAGAGCGAGGAGAAACGGTCATGTAGCAGCTGCTCGGAAGAGAAGTCACCAATGGTGTCTACATGTAACCCTGCTACTGAAAAAATTGAAAGAATGACACCCGAAATTAAGGCATTTTCACGTCTTAGTCGCCAAAAGAGTCGCCAGTTTCAATACCCGGGTTTCAATAAAACCCATAATCGATCATATGGCCATAAATAAGCTTGCAAACCATGCAGGAAACAAGACATACACAAATGTGGTTAAATCCTTTCACATTCGTAGGCTACAGAAACAGCTGTGTTTTCTCCCATAAAAATCCTTACATTTTCGGAACGTTACGCAGTAGTGCCGATGATCTCATCTCGAGCTTGGGCCATATTCCTCGTGCGCACCCGAGAACCAGACCCTGCGGATAGCCTTCGTACATGTAGTATTTCACTACCAGTAGTCCACCATTTTTCCTCAGGATAGTAGATAGAGCGAGCGAAACGCGAGCGCCCGTGAAAATCACCCCACGCGAGAAAGGCGTGACGCGGCTCATTTTTCTCTCTCCCCGTCGCGTATCGCCTTTCCTCGCGTGGGGTGATTATCACGCGCGCTCGCGTTTCGCTTGCTCTACTGTCCCTGAGGACAAATGGGGGACTAATCGTAGTCTAATTTAGTAAGATCCGTATTCGATCATTATACGTTTCTGGGTAACCGCTCGACTACCCCTCCCCTAAGCCAACACTTCCTTCTCACTTAGGGCAAAATGTTGGCTTGGGGGAGGGGTAGCTGGGCAGTTTCCCAGAAACGTATAATCCGCATATTATTCAAAGGATTTAGCGAGAATGTCGAGTTCCTGGGTGCCCCACGGTCGAGGTGGGGAAACAAGTTATTTCATGTAAGAATTGTTGTCATTTTGTCATCAGGAGGGTGCTTAATGAAAAAACGTAAAAAGAAGCTTTAAGGTTAAATTTTTAACTCAAATGTTATGCTCATAGTCAGTCGTCCTTAAGGTCTCTAATCGTTTTCCAGTTGTGCATAAAAAATATCCATAGAGAAAATAAAGAAAAATTCTTGCAATACATTGGATGAAATAAACCGTGCTTATGGCTTGGTAACTGCAAAGAGGATTCAGCTGTTTAAAATATTGTATAATCGGCAAAACCCACAAGATGATAGAATAATATGCCGTACATTAAACAAATAATCACAACTGCACACAACAATGTAGAAAGAGCAATTACAATTCTTAAAAAGCTACCTATCATTGATTTAAAAAAATGCATACAGTACAAAATGTAACATATAAATAGCTATTTTAAATACATCTCTTAGATGTACACCCTTAACAATGATCTACTGCTGGTGTAAAAGAAAACTGCTTAACGTTTCAATAAGACACTACATCTAATTCTGTGCCTGTGGCCATGTGACTAGAGGCCAATGACTGTTGGTCAATGAAGTTTTATTAAGGGAACTGATGATGTGCATAACCATATCAACTCCCCACTTTAGAAAATACAATAATTATTATTTTGTCCCCTCCACCCCCTGTGATGAAGCCAAAAGCTTGACGGATTTAAGAGAAACGATGGAATGCAAGCAGTCTATCTACAGTATATTCCACCGGCCCTGGTTGTTCAACTGTTGGATAACACTATCCACTCGATATACGTCTATCCACGGGATAACGCAATTGGTTTCCCTAATACTTATCTGCTGGATAGTGATTTATCTGGCAGATACCGTAATCCAATGTTTGAACAACTGGGGACTGGTTTTTAAGGCATTCTTGTACTCAATACATCTCACAAACATTGAATTGACTATCTTCTTGATCCCATGAGCGTGTATTGGATCTAAGATGATAAACAGCCACGACGCACATAGTGCCAACTTGGCTTACAATCATTTATATCCACCAAGCACTAGAAGAGTACTTCACTAGCTGCACTATTAAAACTCTATTTTGTAAAAGAGAACCAGGAAGAGACAAAGGCCTATAAAAGGTGACATCTCTTTTCTGTGCCTTGTTTTTGATACTAGGCCAGTATCCAGCCATGTTGAATAGAGCTATCCACCGGATTAATCGCTATCGAGTGGATAAGGATTACGAAAACTAATTGCGTTATCCAGCGGATAGTGTTATCCACCTTTTGAGCAATTGGGGGCCTGGTCAATAGTCGATTTATCATATTGCAAAAAAGAGAACTTTTACTTGTGGGACCAAAGTAAGAAATCCTAAGTGAACAAGATGGACTTATCATGCCTGCTTGGGTATCCAATTAAAACAGAGGATTCGCTTCATCTTGCTGGCTTGTGGGACCAGCCACATAAAATGAAATAAAAACAATACAAATGTACATGTAGCTCATACATGTACAGGTAAAATTACAAGAAATTTTTAGGGTCAATGGCACTTTTTAAGTACAGTGTAGGCTTAACTGCTACATGTGCATTGAAGAAAATAACTGCCTTCTTCAACTGCATACTTGTCATATCACTGTAATATTCACTTTGCTACTCTGCAAGTGTGCAATAACTGCATTATGAACAATACATTTTTACAAACTACAGCTCAGTCTTGGTGGTTACTTTGTCCATTAAGGTTGAATGCATTTTCTTTACCTGAATACAAAAAGGAAACCAAGTTAGTAAAATTTAATGCAATCAAATTGGAAAATGATAAACATACATGTAAAGGATTAATTTCAAGAATGTTCTTAGAAGCTGATTGGAGAAAGTAGTGATGAGCTAAATGTTTTGAGCCTCCACCAAACAACATCAAGAAATACTACCTTACCTCCTTGGAGTATAAATATTATGGAGTTTCAGCATTAACATATACAATGGCAATGGCAGCAAAAATGTCACAAAAAAGTGAATTCATGCTTCTTCAAACTCTTTTGCTCTTATTCTATCTCCTTTAGTTATCAAATGTTGGCAAATTTTTCTGAATTTAAATTCTAAAGGACTTTATCTTAGTTCAGAAATAAAAAATTAAGTTTTCTTTTGTTCACACCCTCCACAAAATGTGAAATTAGGAAGTTTCACATTGAAGCATTGCAACAACAACAAAGAAATTACAAAAGGCATGATGCATATGCAGAGTTGTTTGGCCAAACTAAACCTGTTGCTTTTTTGCCGTTTTCCTTGTTATTACCATAGTTGTTACTAAAACTCACTATAATTTTTGCTAAGAGGCTACATGTACCTGCACCCTGTTCAAGAGCAATAAAATAATTAATTAGCCATAAGAAAAGTCCTTACCCATCGGCCATGCTCCTTGGCCTTTTTTACTAGTGAGTCATGTTTGTCTTGAAGATGCTGATGTCCATCCTTCAAAAGACGTTTAGAATCCCTGGCTTCCTCTTCAAAATGCTTGTGTTTCAGTATCTTGTGATCAAAGTGATGCAGTTCATTCTGAGTAGATAATAAAATTCAGATTTCTAAGCACTACAATAAATAATTATTGGACAAAGTTTTTGTGACATCTGGAATAATCAGGGTGGTGGTAATTAAGGGTAAATGTCCGAGGCTGATAATACATGTACTTACCAAGACCTTGATTATTCAACATTGAGATGTCAAGTGAACCCATATTATATACATTGTATTGGAGAAAATAATGACATTCATACTGTTGCATGGAACAAAGTTTGACATTACTCTTGGAAATAATGCACTGTGTGTGTAAACTAGAAATTAGTCAGTTATCTGCTAGTAAACATACATGTATAATAATAATTACTACTCCATAGGTTCCGTTGTGCTAATTTCCAAAAAGTTTGGCTGAATAATAAGCTTGACAAACATTTACACTACACTGTTGTAATAAAATTCTACCGTATTTTCGTAACTGAGTTGGTATTCTGTTTCATTGTTTCTAAGTACCAAAACCACTCTGAATTTCCAAAGGATGGTAAGCGAAAACCTGTTTAAAAATTCTGGAAATTCCTGGGGAAGGGGGGGTCATCAAAGACCCCCTGGAATAGAAAATCCTGGGGGGTGGGGGGGGTGCAAATCAAAGAGTCTTCCATGGTGGGCGTATGGATATTTTCTGGAACCACACAATACTGTACATGAAATAAGAACACTGTAGTCTAAAACATACAGGTTACAGGCAGCAATGCCACTAAATCCAGCATAAGAGCTTTGCTCTTACAGTAATAAATCATCATGTAATAAACCACCAAAATTTCACAAGAATTGTGATTACACAGGTAAAATTCTGAAAATTTCACGTATAAGATGTAACTTTGTGAAATTTGACATTCATTTTCTCGGGCTCCCACAAGAAATTTTTTTTTGGTGTTACTACAGATGATTTATTACAACTTTAGCCCTTGAAAAATGTAAGAAAGAATGTAATATGCTTTAAATTATTCTGGTACAAGATTTTTGTCCACTGAAAATCAAATTTACTCAATGTCTTGGTGGATTCATCTTAAAAGCAATGGAAAATTATTAACCATCCGGCCCAAAAAGTGCATGGTCGCAGGGCAACTGGGTTTGACACCCGGGCAAAAAATTGACAACCCTAATTTCATCATGATTTGATACCAATATCAGCCACACAAATTGGTTCTCTTTTAAAGGAGCTGTGTGACGAAATTCAGCCAAATTAGGTAATTACAAAATGCCCGTTAATTAACTAAGAGAAACATAAAAATAACCGCTTAAAACATTAAAGGAAGGTTAAAATAACACAACAGATACAACAGATGCCATGGATGGGCAAAACTGAAGAAGATTGAAACGGATTGAAATTAGCGTTTTGAAAACTGTCCAGCCTAACAGTTTTTCAAAGTGTATCTCTGCTGCATGCAACCTCAAAAAAAAATTGCTCAGGAGACATATTTGTTTGTCTTGAGTCTCTGATTTTCTCATTTACATCTAATTTCTTTGCTTACATGTACTTTAAGTTCCATAGCAATTGAGGGCAAGTAATTGGCAAAATTAAACAAAATGAACTGGACTGCCGTGACACAGCCCCTTTTAATAGTTCATAATCTTATTGACGTAATTATTGTTACATTTTAAAAGGTATTTTTGTATTTTCAGCCCAGACAAGAACAATTTTAGACTTAACTGACCTCTAAGCCTTTTCTCCGCAACACTCAGACATTTCAGAGATGGTCTTTTATGGAGCACAGTTCTTTTTGCACTGCATTATGGGGCGATTTTGCGATAAAGTGGAAATATTTAGATGGTGAAGTATGTTTTACCTTCGAGAAGAGTAATCAGGAAAAGGGCACGATTGTAAGTTCTTTTTTAAAAGTTCTTTGAGATGTTAAGCAGCAAGACAAAAGTCACGTTCACAAACGGTCAGTTTGCCCCGTGCCAAGCCCATGACATCTTTTTTTTAAATCTGTAATGCATAAAACCAGCAGTGTGGTCTTAGTCATACTCAGAACAAGGAATTCAGTACATGTAGATTCAGAATAGTATGAAGCTTTATTCATACTACAGTAATTGAACATGTATAAGACCACAATGATATCCAATTATCCAATTTCAATGAAGAATCACTTTACCTTAAAAGATTCCAGTTCATCTTCACTAATCCCGCCATCCTTAGCTCTTTCCCATAGTTCATTTACACGAGGATCTCGGAACAACTTCTCCTCTTTCTCCCCTGTCACTTTCTCCTTCAACCTGGCAAAGTTTTTAGTCAGTGTTTCATGAGTGTCTTGAAGTTTGACATGTAAGTTTTCAACATCATCGTCTTTCATTATCCCCTGAGAGTAAACAGAGTTTTCAGAGAGACTGCCCTGGTCCTCTAAAATGTTTAAAAGATGTTTGTATTCTTTCAGCTTCTCTCTGTGGTGGTTAAATTCAGTTTCAAGATCATCAAGCTCATCAGCACTGAATTTTCCTAAAAACAAAAATTATAAGTTAAGTTAATAACTACAAATAGAGTAAGAAAATTTACTATGTTTATCATAAACAGAATCACATAATTATTAATAACATAATTAATAACTTAAACTGCAAAAAATATAATGATAATCATAATTTTATTACTTATAATGTGCAAGTTCTTATATGTATACATATGTATATGATCAAATGGATGTATATGTTGTAGTTATTCTTTTATCTCAGTTAATTTTGATTTTTCCATTGTTTTTGGGTATGATAATGAATGCTAATGAATTTGAAACAAAGAAAAAATATAAAAATTAACTGAAATAAAAAATTAACTGCAACATATATTTAACCATCCAGAATATTACAAAACAAATCCAGTGAATTGTGGATAGCAGTACCCAGACTTAAAGAACTTCAGTTGGGAAGTGCTACAGAAAGCACTTAGGCTCGATTACCAGCCACTGTTCGGGAAAATGAGCCTGCAGTCATCCCCCCCGAAAGAGCGGTTGGAGGCGTGCAATTTCCTTTGTTGATTTAAACCAATCACGCTACCGCCTGCAGATTTTCATCTGGCAGAGATTGCCACAGAAATTATCACATCAAAACAAAAAGTAATTCCTTGATTCATCGTATGGTGTAGCGATTTTAACGGCGCAGAGACTAGGCGAAATTCTAGAGTCTGAAGGAACACAACGTTTTGTTCTGTAGTTTGTTGTGAACTCTTCTTTCAATGACTGTTGTTGGAGAGATTTTGCATCTTCAAGGATCTTTTCAAGGTGCTTTAGGTCTCGAAAACTGCTTTTGTTACAGATGTAACCGCCCAAGTTTATATTTGACAGAGGAACATTCAATACGCTGGAAATTCCATCTGGTAAATCACAAACTTTTCCACTTAATTTTTTCAGAGCATCGTTGTTTTGGCCTTTTTTTCCATCCATTCGAAGATCAAAGAAAGTTAACTGCATGTCACAGTGTACAGAAATGTACCGAAAAAGTATTTCGAAAGTCATTTGGGTGGGTACGGGAGTGCTTGATGCAATTTTGAGCCAAATAAACAAGAAAACTGGAAACCAGTTTCACTTCCAGTGACATCGGAGATGGGTAAATTATCAATTTTCCAATTGCGTCACAGACAAGGTCAACGGATCACGCGTCCAGCAGTCTCTAATCGGGGAGTATCAAAGACCGGACCCGGGAGACGGCAGAAATCGAGCCAAGAAACCACTCCAGGGTTTAATTTCTGCCTTTTTCTACATGGACTTGCAGACCCACCATAAAAAAAGGTTTCAGTGCCTAAGCGTATCACGGCTGTGTCCTAGATTTTCACTAACAGGTGACTAGAAAATCTTAGTTTTTTCATATAAGTCATAATTATTCTGGGAACCCTAGATTTTACAGGTTCAGAGCACTGGGCTCCCTTCAGTTTTCCTTGGAGGGCAGACTTGCATATAATTAAAGCAGGTTGAAAACTGTCACCTTGGGGATGCAAAAGTGTCACAAACTGAGAGTTGTTACTGTTCCCAGGATAACGTGCAAGTGCAATAGCTGCCATTTTTATAACTGTTGGTAATAGTTATAATTCTATGCCTATG